AAACTCCAGCGCGCATGCTCCCAACGTCGCGTGACTTCCGCTGTCGTAACAGTATCAATAAGTTCGACCTTTTTGGTTTAAAAACCCTTAGTTTGAATGGCAACACAAACTCAATAATATTGTTACGCCTCAGGTCGTTAGTTAATTTTCCGTATAATTTCTTTTCGAAGAAACTTTAGCGATACAAGTCCTTTCTTAAATGAAATTGGTTTATTCTTTCTAAATACAACTTTGCAATATACTTAATTTCCACAGTCACGCTATAATTCACAACGAACGTCTCACTGCTCGACTCAACAATACTCTCTCTGTCTGTCCGCAGTTCAATTGCTCATTACATTGTTGCCGTCACGTCTTGACCGTCTTATATATAAAATAACACCGAAATCTAGTAAACGCCAGAGCATTCACGAACCTTCGAGAATATGACGTGTTACTAGCGTCACGTGACCCCCGCTGTCGTAACAATATATAATAGTTTTCTTCGAAAACTGGAGTGATATATACCAATTAACCGATAAATTCACCTATTCAGTTTAAACTGTAAATACAAGAAGGAAATTGGTGAAGTTCACACACACACACACACACACACACACACGTACAAATTTCGGCAGACGTTGTAAAGTGCTGCTATTAGAAATAAAGTATCATATTCTCGCTTGCATTCATTATATAATTCTCCTAATAACAGTATGTCAGAGGCTGTTATAATAATCACTGGTGTTGTATGTTTGGGGTATTCACTGTACTGCACATTAAGAAATTTGTAACGATAAATGAAATATTTATTTACGGATAAAGAGATGAATATGTTTAAAAACCTCTTTTTAGCCGCGGCATAACGACTCGTAGAATGGCTCAGAGTTTTTTTCAAGTACAAACTTTTAGCTCATAGCTCCGTCTTCTCTTGATCGATTTGAGATCTAATTACAGTTTTTGGACTTAGGAGGTCAAACCCTGTCGACTGATTTTTTCACCAACTCAAGGTCGCATAGATTAATTTACTCTAATCCTGCCTAAAAGAATTTCAATTTCAGGGGAGGTTGGTAGAAATTCTGACGTGTAATAAAATCGAATCGGGTATATGCGCATCCCACGCTTGGTATTACTAGCGCACAAAACATAGCTAATAAAAAGGAAAAAAAAAGGTCTTATAGATTACTTTACTCTAAACCTGCCTAAAAGAATTTCAAGTGCCGCGGCTATTGAGGATTCCCACTTATTTACCATTGTTAAACATTGCTTTTCGATAGGTTTACCTATCTGATCATGTGGCAAGATTTGACGCGTAGTCTTTAAGAAAAGTAGAGGTTTCTAAACATTAGTATTTGTTGACCTGTATATAAATAAATAATGATTTAGTTTGAGAAAAATCTTTCTATAAATTAAATAAAATAATATTCCCCATTTATTAATCTTTTTTTCTTTTACCATGACATCATATTATACAGAAACAAATTACATCATTTACATGACATTGCATGACAAATCTGCTGACTTAGCAAGGAAGTAATAACCATTTGATATACTCATTCAACGCCTCGCGATGTAGCTATTTCGGGTGACTACACAAAGTGTCCATAAAAGGAGGAAACAAACTGAATTACGAAGAAACAATTGTTTGTCTGTTTGTTTGAAGTTAAGCACAAAGCTACACAATGGGCTATCTGTGCTCTGCCCACCACGGGGATTCTAGCGTTGTAAGTCCGCAGACATACCGCTGTACCACTGGGGGGGCACGAAGAAACAATCCTATTTATGAAGTCGGTGTTATAATTACAGGAGTGTCGATTTTCTTTTGAATATATTATTGACATCAAGATAAACTATTAGTATTACATCCATTGGAAAAATACATTCTTTATTCAAATAACTGTTTAATTTAAGTGATCGAGTAACATTTGTAAATAGTCTTACTTTTTTTCAGTACATATACAAATGCGTTTACTATTTTAAAAAGTTGATATTGTTACGTCTCCGTTTGTTAA